TTTCCAGTCCAGGAAGCAATTCAACCTTTCACAGCTTAGCTCTGTGGCTTCGGGTTTGAAAATGGTAAAACAAAAGTGGATATAATAAAATTTAGAAGGAAAAAAAAGTTCCATATTAAAAAAAGAAAATAGAACCTGAAGTTCAAAAAGGAAAAAAAAGAACATAATGATGAGTCAGCTAAATTAAAGGCCAAGCTAAAATGATCTGTCCTAAGTATTCTTAAGAAATGGCCATAAAAACAAAATTCCCAGAGACTAGGCATTGAGCTGGTAAGTTGGATGCCAGCTACAGAGGATCTGTGAGATGTATTATTTAAAAATCTAAAAAGTATATCTGACATGTCAAGCCAATAAGAAACTTCAAATCAATTTTAGACTAAAAGAAAAACCATGCAACGCCTTTGAAATACAACCCTAAAGTATAATCCATCTCTTTTGAGAAATCAGGTTGTAGACATTGCTGTTTGATCTTGATCAGGCCTTGAGCTGCAACTTCCTGAGGAACTAGATAAACCAAACCAGACAGCATTGCAATATTAATGTAAAAAGAACTCTATGCAGTCCTACGAAAAACTTACTAAACCCAATGATTCAGTATATTGTAGAAAAACCTTTAGCAGCAATGCCTTTGTTTTCTTTTAGCAGTCTCTCTGGAATTGTCCCAATCTTTACAGTGTTGTTTCAGTTCATTGATGCTTGCAGGCATTCATTCTTGCACAGCTCTCTTTAGGTCCCACCACAGTATTTCAAAAAAGGCTGGATTTTGAATGAGCCATCACAGCACCTTGATTCTTTTCTTTTACAGTCTTTCTTTTATAGATTTTCTGGTATGCTTGAGATCATGATCCTGTTGCATGACCCATTTTCAGCCAGTCTTTAGATGTGGGACAGAAAGCCTCACATTCAACTCTAGAATACTTAGAATAATTTAATATACGGAGGTGATCATCGTTGACTCATTGGCTGCAAGGTTTCCAGGTCCTGTGGCTAAAAAGCAAGCCAAAACCATTACCCCTCCACCACCATGCCCGGCAGTATGAGGTGTTTGTGCTGATGCACTGTCGGTTATGGATAAATATCTCCACTTTTGTCTCACACTTTTTTTTTTCAGATCAAACATTGCAAGCCAAAACACCTGGTTGCCAATTCCCCTCTTGATTTCTATCAATGCAGTAAGGCTGTACTTAGTTTTTTGTGCACTTAGACTGTACATGTAGATGTCTGGAAGAGCATGAAGCTTAATAGTCCCTGTTAATACATCATCAAATGTTAATGTGTATGTGTGTAGCAATATTATGTATAAATAATTATCTGTCAAAATTCATTAAATGTTATAAAGTGTTAAAAAGTTTCTGGTTTGTCAGACACATTCTGAATCACGACATATAAGAGAACAGACTACATCATAGAGAACTGCTGAACTAATTTCGTAGCATAGATTTTATAAGCAATTACAGTGAGACTGGATCCATTTGAATGTTGATGAAATACGCTGACCAACTGCTGTATGTAGTGCTTAGTCCATTGATTCCAAGTCTTTTGTTACAAATGCAATTACACTGGTTTGTTTCGTCTAACTCTCTCTGTCTGCTTGATAATGACCTTAAGGAGGAATCTCCCTCCTCTCATGCTGTCCAATCAATGCCACTTCGTGCAGTGGTTTAGAGCCACTTCATATTGCAAAGCTCTGCAGTCGCTCATCATCTGAGAAGCAGTCCAACTAAATGGTACATTGGTCATTTGTTCCACTGGCCGAATCAGCTTCAACGTATGAAAATCTGCACGCTCTGACTGAGGATATATGCATATTTAGGCTTATGAAACGACGTTTATATATGTATGAGTCAATGACATCCTCATCCGTCACTCTTTTCATTCGCATAACCTCATATCCCTGCATATATATCTGTACTTGTATACAACATGCTCACTGTTATGTAAAACCCCTTCATCTCTTTTCATCTCTTTCAGAAAAATTCCACAGATCAGTTGAGCCCATTCTTTTGCTTCTGCTCAATTGCTTCCTTCAACACCCAGGCGATGCCACACGGACTTTCCGGCTCATCCACATGGAGCAAAAATAACATTCTAACTGCATAAAAAATAAAATAAATAAGTGTGTAATGACAACAAAAAGACAGCGATTAGAGCAGGAGCTCAGTGCAAATAGAGGACCCTACTGCGGCTGAAAGCGTGATAATTAGACATTCCTTTCTGTGTGTGCCAGATACACAGATTCACTAATGTGCACTGTGCAGCCTCTCTACAACTGAGAAGCTTATGTCCATGCAAAGAGGCACCCCACTGGCTAAATTTAACTATTTACAAAAGCAACCTTGTCTGTAACACTGTTTCCAACGCTGCCAAAAGCACAGATTTAGCAATATGTGTGCAATGTGCCTTCACTGAAGGTAGCAGCATTGACATGAGCCTCCTCCTTCAATCGCTTCGCTCTCCGTCCTTCGTGTGAATGTGACCGAGAAAGACTGATTCATTCCATTTCATTTGAGTGTACGTGCATGCATGTCTCACTGTTATGAAGCACGGTTTTGGTTAAAATCGTCATGATTTCAACGTGAAAGACATCAAACAAGAATGAGAGCTTTCATTAGCGTGTTTTATACACATGAGGAATAAAGATCACTTTTAAACACAAAAGCAAAGCAAAAGGTGATGATTCTTAAATCCCAGAAATACACTTAATCTATTAAATATTTGTCACACATTCACACTCATCTGCATCAACAACAAAGACACCAATACGCAATATTCATGCAGAACTGCAGGGTGATATGTAAATCAATGCATGTCATCATTTACTACATCAGTCAAGCTCATGGACACCAGATGCTGACACTCTGTCATCTGCATATTTCATGGAATAGCAGTAGGGTTAAAGAAAAGGGTTTAAATTAAGGCAAGCTACACATCTGATCTTAGTAGACCTCAGCGAGCTTCATGAAATTATAAATAACTTAAAAAAAATCTAATAGATCAAAAATGAATAACTCACAGTTCATGTAAATCTCACCTATCAGCATCATGGTATCAGACATGGTCTTAAGTGGAAATGGACAGCAACCAGTTGCTGAAACAAATACTTGCTTAGAGAAAAATTTTCATTGCTACAGAACGGAAGGAACAAAGGGACACAATAAAAGCCTTGGGAACTTAAAAAGTGGTTGGAGTTGTGAAAAAGACGTGGGTAGCACAGTGAAACAGTCGCACTTTATACAGCTACAACAGTTAAGCTACACTTTACCAAGTGTACACAAATATCACCTTTTATAATGCTATTATGTAATAAATATGACTGATCCAGGTTTGGATTTGATTTTCAGTGATTATTATCTTTTGCATTTGTGTTTTTAGAGGTCCTGTGAATCTGTTGAGTGATTTTTCTACACCTTATGGAATTTATTTTTTGCCTTTAGTTGCTTTTCCCCCATAAAAACATAATAAGTAGACAACAACTTTATCTGCACATTCACATACAGCAATATTAAACATTTTCAGGAAAAAAAAAATCATGTTTTTGTCTCAAGCACAAACCTGTTGACGTTTTTGATATTGTTTCCTTTTGACTTCATCATGTTTTAAGAGTTTTGCCAAATGAACACTATTCGTCACACTGAAAACTGGGCTAGTTCCCCTGTAGTGCAATTCCAAAGATGAAAACGGCGCGAAACGGATTCCACACCAAATGGAAATCCTTTTTTTCTGGCAAGAAACTAAATCAAATGTCACATTAATTAATAATGATTTTACGAGAACAAAACCAGCATCGTGTTAACGTTCCGCGTGGATAGGAGGTACTAAGGCAACACCACGTCTTTGTTGTTTACTCGTCAGCTCTTTAAACAAAGCCAGTTACAGTCAGGAATCAAAACGTAATCAAGGTCAAGCCACAGCAGTTAACTGTACAACACAATGCTGAAAATATCAGATATCAGCACAGATGTTGGTGAACTGCATCAGACTAAATATTTAAGAATAAAAGAAATGAATACGCACAAGAAAAATGTACTTAGCCTTATTATAAAGTCCTTAAAATCAAGGTAAGAGGAACACAGAGAGACCATATGTTTCCTCTTCTCTTAGTCAGAATTAGCCGCCAGTCTTGGCGAAACCTGATTTTCTCCCCACTGTAACAACTGAGGAACCCCCCCACCCACGCACACACGCCTGCCCCAATTCCAAGAAAACCTCTTCTCCCCCTTCTCTGGCTGTAACTTTTCAGTGAAGTTAAATGACCCTAAACTACAACCTAATCTCCAATCATCACAGCGAACCACAGGGCTCGTCCAACTGCGATGATTAATCTAGCCGAACGATACAGTAGGAGTAGAGTGCATTTTATTGTTGTTGTTGTTTGTTAGTTTTTGTTGGGTTTTTTTGGTCTCCTTTCCAGTCACACGACTGTGACTGCGGTTAATTTTGCTGTCGTGCAGATTAGAAAAATACAATAGATTTTGTAGCCAAACGCTGTTTGATATAAACGAATAAAAAAAAAAAATCTAAATACTTGAAACAGAAACAGGTTTACCTTTGAGCCCCCCGTTCGATTTAGTGGCAAAAGCCTCTCTATATGTCGTTAAACATGACTGGAAGATCCAATCTAGAAGTAAAACATCTCAACTATAAGACCCGTGGTAATAAAATCCGACAGAAACACGCAGTCTCAAATCTGTTCTGTTGCGTTGCGCTTTTACGCACCTCTGGTGCGGCTTCGACGCCAAATCGTCTCTTAATCTCATTGTAAAAGGTGGCGGTAGATCTCAGTGCAAATATGAAAAAAAAAATGCTTTTTTTTTTATTGCGATGGCTGTTGAAAACACGGGGAATGTGAACATGTGGCGAAAAAGCTTGCTGAAATCAAGAATGGTTTTATCGAATTAATGAGACGAGAGAAAACCGCTTTTGGGCAATTATAGACTTTCACAGATCTGTATACATAAGCTTTCAGCACGTTGGAATTGTCAAAAGGCGAGTTTTCTCACCATTGGGAATTATTTGCGTCCTACTGCAGAAATTAGACCAGCAATTTTATCCAGACTTGAATGAAACGATGCGGAGCGCTTTTATCCAAGTCACACTGGAGTCCTTTAAGCACACATTATGGTTCGAGTAAGTCAATTGGCTCTTCCTTTTAGAAATGATCCACAAACAGATTGCTGGAATTAGTAATGTCCGGTGAAATGAGGCTTTAACGTCTTGAATACTTGATAAAAAAAAATGCGCGCAATGGTCGTGTGATCGTTTAATACTGACAAAATTAATAAGGTATAGCGGTCCATGACTCTGAAATTGTTTCCGCTTCTGGGGTTGTCAAAAAAAAAGTATATCAGAACCACAAAGTTCCCCTTGCTCCATCTAAGATGCGCAAAGACACCGATGTTGGCACAGGGAGCTGTTGAAATGTCTTTGTGTTCATTGCGCATAGCTTCCAAAGCAGTAGATATTAGACGGGCTCTTTCTAGTTCGAATATAAGGTGTAAAAATATTTTTCAATAGTCACCGAGGATCGGGATGTTTTCTCTGAGCTGAATAACGTGAAACAGGAGTTATGTACTTTTGCCACTCGATGAAACCAAAACAGCGCTGAAATGTTTGAAAACAGAATAAACCCCACTCGGAGTAGCACCGTGACAATCGAGTTTCCACATATTGAATGTATATGCAGGTGTTGATGTGGCTGTGTGAGCAACCTGGCGGATATAGATAGATAGTCCCATACTAAAAAAAAAGAAAGAAAGAAAGAAAAAAAGTCCAAGGTTCAACTCCTGACCACAACTAGTTCCTCCTTTCGGACTGTCCTTGAGCAAGACAGCTTAATAAACTCCCTTTACTGAAAGAACAAGCGCTTCTTGTCTGACAGCTTCAGATAAAATATCGAATCCTTTGGTTCCTCTCAGAAATCACAGACTATTGATCATAAAGGGGCCAATATTCAGTCAGCAGCTTACCTGCTTTTATGTTGTCACGCCGGTGGCTTCTTTTTGGTCCGCTTCATCGCATCGCTGTTGCATGTCTGAGGACATGCTTCTGAAGACGGGCTTTGGAGACAAAACGCGCTGCACAGGAGAAAGTGGAGAGGGGGTGGGGGTGCGTGAGCAAGACGGCGAGAGAAAGGGAGAGAGAGCCGTAAGAAGTAGGCTGGCTTCTCTTTGACGGTAACGACAGTCGTTATTTGCCTTTCAGATTCAGGGAAACCAGCCTGAGTTTAGTGCAGCAACACGTGATTTAAAACAGAAATCACCCGCAGCTTGAAAGAGTGCTGTTCGTCGGTACACTAATTAAACCCCATGCCAGGAGAATCACACACGCTTGCCACAGATTTTCCGCGGCAAATCAGCTCATTTAGCCCGTTAGTATATTTTTAACGACATTGGATTTTTTCTTCAGATTATATTTTAATTGGCTGGGGTGTATTAATCACTGTCATTTTGATTGAAAAGACAGAATTTTGCTCGTGGCTTTTCTCTTATAGCCTATATAGTTCTTTCCATTAAAAAAAAAAGCCTTAGTGAGAGCTTCGCGTAGACTTTTAGATTCAGCACCAAGGAGAGCGAATATAAACGATAATAAATTAAAAAAAGCAAAGCTTGCTCACCTTTTGCGTCTGCAAAATTCAATCTTTTCATCGACGTGGTGTACTTTTAATTAAGAAACAATCTTTAATTATTCAAGTACTTTTTGAAAAGAAATCTAAATTCAAACAAAAGAAGAACTGAATGGCTCTCAGACCTGCATCATGTATTTTTGTCTATGCATACGTGTCTTTGCAGGAAACCTGTTGATTATCTAAACACGTGGCCAACAGGACCTGCTTTGTGTCAAGTTGTATACATTGTAAGGACTTAGTTTCCCCCCTTCTCTCTCTGAAGACGGCTCTCACAGCGGAATGACTCCTTTTATCATAACTGACTGGCGCTTATCAGATTTAACCGCTTAGCACTTGTTTGAAAGCTGAATTTCTGCCTGATTTATTACAACATTACATTTTCTGAACTGGACTGCTGCTATTAAAGTCTTGGAGTGATTTGATGTTATTCAGTATTTCTCAAAAAAAAAAAAAAAATCTGCCACACAGCCAAGATTTTTGGAAAAACACACAGAGGATGAGAATGTTTTACTGACATCTACTGGGGAAGTAGTTTTTAAAGTCACTCTGGTTCTGTGTATTTATGTGTTTGCCTATTAACAGGTCATCTGCCCACAGGAAGTAAAGCTGAAGTCAGTTTCATAGACCTAAACCAACCAGCACCCTTCCCAAGATCATCCAACATGCAGGTAACACAGGTAACTCTTTCTTCTTCCTCTATGCTGAATTTGATCAAATCACCATGAAGATTTTTTACTGTTTTCTGATTCAGAGACAAAGAGACTACACACAGAGTGAATGATGCCACCCTGAACCCTACCTGCCAATTAAAATGTACCAAGTGGTACTAGTTTAGGTTTGGGAAACATACTGCATTTGGATTATTTAACAATGTGGCTCATGTAGCAACTGAAAAAACAAATGCTAAAATGCAGAGAGGTTTCATATAAAGTGGGAAGGCTCTGCAGAGAAATGAAAAAACTAAGTAAGAGACAGAAGAGAGGCTGTTGTCATCTAGTGACAGCTATCAGACATGGTTTTGCACGGCTATGAAAGAATAATACATCAGTGACTCATGTAAATGCTCCAGGAACGTGATAAATCCTTAAATCCCATCTGATTGCATGTGCCAAAAACAAGTAGGGTGACAACAAAAACATCCACTACATGCGTTAATTATTCCTATTCGCATTGCTTCTGACATGCACGACTCACAGTATATGCACATAGGCTGCTCATTACTCATGTGAGTGCGTGTGTGTGTTAGTGCCGCGAGCAGTCACCTAAATGGCCACAGATGCGTCACGTGTTGCATTCACACCTGTGTTATGCTGATGAACAGGAGAGCCTCAAAGGGTGGCTCGAGTGCACTGCAATTAGTTATAGAGAATCGCAGTTTTAATGGACTCGCTATTGCCCAATTAACAGAAACACGATGAACAAAGAGTCATCTAATGCACTATCCGGAAAATAGCAAACACATCAAAGTGCATATATAAAATTCAGCGTTAATGTACTTTTATGGCAGCTGTGTGGCCGTGGTGTGCTTTAACTTTACTGAAATATAGAAATCTTGTCTTCGTCTTGGCTCTGTCTCTCATCACCTCTGATCCAAAGCTTTGTACACCTGCTCGACAAAGATTTCCAATGTACTGATTTTGACTGACGCCACTGAACATCTGGACCCATATAGTCAAATCACACGGCCAAGAAAAGCAAAGCCATGAAGGATTTCACAATGCTTAGCATAACCTATTCTGGAAGACATTAGAAGGATGATGAAAAGTACGATGAATACATTTAAAAACATGAGTTTCTTAAACTATCTTACATGCTTAATCTGTATTGAGAGATGCTGGCTGGCATGCCTCTTCCTTGCGCATTGGAAGCAGCTGTATAATTGTTTTTCCGGCTCTCAGACATTAAGGCACATTGTTTTCATTTGAAAATAATACAATCTCATTAAGAAAACCAAATGCTGTCATTTCAAACCCAGCAACTGATAGAACAAATCACATTTTATTGTTCTGTTTTGGGGATGTCATGCATTTATTTGGGTTTATGAGGCCAAATCTGAATAACAAATTTGCACTTGTGATAGGCAATGTGTGTTTGCAAAGTATAAAAAAATACTAATACTATTTTTCTGCTCGTGTATGCTTACCACAATTTATGTAAACAATACTTTTAATATTCTTAAACGAGATTTTTTAAATTGAAGAATAAAATAAGATAGCAAAGAAAAGTTGAAAAAAAAAATGTAGTTTCTTATATGTATATATTTATTTACTGAAGTTACATGGTGCTGTAATACATAGCCACTAATGTAAAGGCAATAAATCTGGATCCAACACTTGAAACGCTTCCACTGATTTATATTATGTGGCTTTCTTATCGGAAATAGGACGTTAATGTGAGTATTCTGAAATCAATATGCCTAAAAAATGCATGAACGTCACCATTATTCGTGTTTAACCACTTGAAGGGTAGTTAAATACTACAGTCAGCCACTGAGTGTGCTTGAGAATGTTTATTGATCAGCAGGCTGTCCATCAATGTGAGCAGCTGTCAAGAGACTTTAACTTGCTGTTGAAAAACCTGAAGTACCACTCGGCTAAACAGAAGGATGAAATAATCCCCTTGGTGTCTTAAACCAAGTCTCTCACCATAGTTCTCTATAGAAAGTATTTTGTAACGCTCCAAGCTGCAGAGAATTTGAGTGGATGAAGTAAGGCTGATCCTGTGATCACTTCTTTAAAAAAAACAAAAACAAAAGGGGAATCAGAGGTTGGTGTTGGAAACTTTTCAACAGTTAACAATTCTGTTGGGATGAGTTGTCATTGCAGGCAAATGTGCTGTATGTAGTAGGACTATTTTGTCTTGATCGGGTTTAACAAGTCAGTGACAAGCTGTTCCCACAGTCCTCCCAGGACCAGCAGAACAAAAGACAGAAGCGAGGGAGAAAGGAGGGAGTAGAAGAAATACAATACACATGATTCGATAGATGGGATGGGGAATGGGATTCACCTGTAATTTAAGGAGCAGGCCAAACAACTGTCACAACAATTTAATGTGCTTGCTAATTAATTTTCTATCATTATAGAAAAAACAAAACTATCTTAAGTTTGCATGTCATCGGGCTTTATTTTCAAAAAGCAAATCGTATTTCTCTCTATTAGTCTTTCTTCCCATACGCTAAACTTTGTATATATAACACTAAGTAGGAATGCCAGCATTCTTTAAAAATAGTTCTCAAATTTGATTCATCCCTGTGTGAACACTTTATGTGGGCACTGTGCATTAAGCCCCAAACAACAGCTCAAAGCTGTGTGGTGATTGGCAGTACACAATGTAATTTGCTGCCCAATTTGAGCATAAACATGTTAAAGCACATAAGGACCATCTGTACTGCATTATGTAAAAAGATGAACCACTTTCTCTGTTGTCCAAGGTCTTTATAGAACTAACCAGCACTCATTTACAAAGTTCCTCTGCATGTATATCAAATCATACAGCTTGAAAGTATATGCTGGGATATCTATATGCATACATATTTAAACAGACATACAGTATTAAGTCAGATATGTAAAAATGTATTATTATTATTGTTATTATTGTTAATTTTGTCAAAGCTGTTGACATCAAAGAAGTACGTGCAAGATATTGCTTGGACATGGCCCTGGGTCATGGCAATGGTGAAAACGGCCCACTTCCGATGCTTGTGCAGGACTCCTTGGCATGTTTTTTAACTGCACTGGGTGCCATTTTGCTGTAGTGTCATGGTGTGAACATGGACTTTTTAAAACAAACCAAAACCTTTTCCCAAACCTGTCACTTTTGCTGCCTTCTGTTTCCTAAATCTAAGCAAACAGTATGGAAAAGCACCCATTAAGTCAGCTGATGTAGAAATAATTGCTAGTAAAAGAAATTATTTTCATCCAAAGCAGTTGCATCAAATCAACTCATAGTTTTCTTTAGCAATAGTGAATTGACCTAAACAGTAAATGACTGAACGTGGTATTGCCCCCTGTCAAATGTCTTTTTAAGTCTCAGTCTCAAAACGACATCTTTATTTTACTTATATTTCAGCTTTAATTACTTTGCTTCTGTGTTCAGTATTGTCGTCATGAGCACCACTCTTCTGATGGCTCATATTCAGCTCACACTGAGTCATGTCACTTGTATTAAACGCAGGACAAAATCAGTGGAGGAGTGCAGATGGGGTGGAAAGAATAAAGTAGAGTTTTATGAGTAAATGGGATCTTTTCCAGATGATATCTCAGTCCCCTTAGCAACACATAGAAGCACAAGCATTCAAGTTCAGGTACCTATTCATGGTCAGCAGATATTTATC